AGTGCACGCGAGTATATGCAAAAACATATTGTGGCCAGCATAAACAACTCGCAGCTGGCAATTAACCGTGGGGAGGGGGTGAATGGGAGGGGGGGGGGGGGGGGGGGCAATCGAGAATTGCCCGACGGGGTTATCCATTTGCAATTGGCCTGGTCCACAACTACATTGAAAGCAACTGCAACTAATTAGCTTGTGGCTTAGTGGACGCTTATTGTTTTCGAGGTTCTATCGATAAAATTGATAAATTGCCCGTTGTCGTGTTAATTAGAGGGCCACACATACCGACCGGCAGGTGGCGCTTCAAATATTCACGCTGTTTACAACACCGGCAAATCACAAGCTGTTCAGCATTTATTTTTTAATAGTGTTGGCAATCGTGCAAATGGGCGCATTGATCATTTGATTGTTCGAGTGTTGGATTCGAGGAAAATTGGAAGTGAAAGTGATCAGATTCTAAATGGAAATATAGTTAAGCGTGATCTTTAGATATCTATTATACCCATTGAAAATAGCGATTTCGTGCAAATGTATTTGACAGACAGAAGTCCATAAGTACACATATGCCTGGTCAACAAGTCGTTCTAGCCATGTCTGTTGCTCTGTCGGTCAGCCCCTCCGTATGTGTGATCCCGGAATTTCAAAATGGCAAGCTGAGTTTATCTCTAAACTAAAAGCTGGGTTCTTGTAGTCTCCAGCTTGTTATTTTCTCACTCTGTTTGATTTGTAGTTTGTTATTATGTAGTTAAACATAATCATAGTTACATAAGATTTGGCAAATCGATCAACAATGAAGCTTTTGATCGATAAATATCTTAGGGATATCTGTTATCAGTTGACATTCAATCTAATCAAAAATCCAAGGGTTAGATCAAAGTTCTAACAAAAAAACGGTTTGTGATTTTGAACTTTTTTGATCATTTTTGGATTATCTCAACCAAAAATTGTCCTATTTTGGAATGACATAACAGTTTGGACTAGTAAGGAATAGTTTTATCGATTGGCATTCAAAACTTAAAACTTTTTTGATGAATTTGTGTTTCTCTTTTAATATCTCAAGTAAATAACGTCTGATTTTGGAATGTTTAACCTTTTATCAATTGGAATTCAATCAAATCAAAAGGGATAGCTTCATTTGTGAAATTAAACGTTTTTTTTTTAAATTTTCGTCAAATCTGCTCTGATTTCTTTATGCTACACCATTTTGATACGTACTAGATCAAAACTATTAAGAAATGTAGATTATTAAGTGTCGGACCCCTTGGAATCGATATTTATCGATTTTGTTTACGCTTGGCAACAACCAAGCTGTAATACATGGCTAGATCGACTTGCTGAGGAATAATTTATGGGCTAGAAGATACTTCCATCCGCCTGTTACAAACATTTGCATCAGTGGGTTGAGGGTATGAAAAAAACTAAAGGTCATACAACATTCAAGATTCCACTCCTAGCTAATAAAGTCTCCTGAGAAGTCACAATCGATTAATTACCCTGCAGTGGGCCAGCTGTGAAAAAAGGTGTCAATTCGTCTCTGTGCAGGTGTCACATTCGCATAAATAATATAAATCTACCGAAATCGCAAAGCAACTGCGGCAATTGCATTCAGTTAGCAATTACAATGTTTCGCATACCTCAGAGTAAAAGATACATTTGATTGATTGCGTTTTTTGTGTTAATCATGGATACGTGATGCTATCAAAATTGTGGATAATTAACTCCATATTTGTTGTTGTTGTTGTTGTTGTTGGAGTTGACAATTAGACGGCGCACAGACCAAAAATAAATTGCATGCGCGATAAAAATCGCCAGAGTTTTGCTTTCGAATGTGGCCAAAATGGTTTCGCGAGCGACTTTTATGGCATTTTTAATGCAAACGATTTGAATTTGAATCAAAAGGCAACAACATTTTGGCTGTCGTTGCCAGTTACAAGTTGCAAGTTGCAACAAGCGCGTTGCAAGTTGATTTGTCGCCTGCGCGTGTCAATCACAAACTTTGAGATACTTCGCTTTTTGTTGTTGTCGGTGGTGCTGGTGGTGCTGGTGGTGCAGCTACTAATAACACGATTTCCAAACGATAATTAGCCAGAGAGGATAACCACCGCAGTGAGCTGCCACTTAATCTAATGACAGTTCTCGTAGCCAAACGCCAAACACGCCCCACAGCTGCCGTCCACACGGCAGAGTTGTAATTGCTTAAACGACTTCTGGTTTGGACTGAGATACTTGCAGATACTCGCAGATACTCGTGGCTAAAGTTATGTAAAGTGCTTGCTGGTTAGCTGCTCAGCCAATCGCTGACACACTTCCGATATAACCGTAACCATGTCGCGTATAAGGAGTAAAGCCAGTTGCCAGCCATTTGCTCCACTTGGCCAAAGACAATGATAACTCATTGAGTCGGACTGCATGCGTCTTATGGTCAGCCATAAACTCAATTCCATTCAATTGCCGGCAATGAGCAACTTTTTCCGGGCGCATCATCAAATCAAATCGAGTCAAATCAACTCGAGAGGAAAGTTTCTTTAAAGTTAAACTTGTTGTGCATAGATCGAATTGTATTCTGTTTATGGACTGCACGAGGTGTCGGACATTTTATGGCCCCACTCACATATTATAGCATATGTCCTATAAGAAACTGTGTGATATTTAGCTGTAGTTACAAACAAATGCTGGCATTGTTCGGCTCAAAAGGGCATTTCTCAGAGAGGAAATCAAGCAAAGGGAATAAAACTCATAACGAATCAATTGAAACCCAGAGAAGACAGAGCAACCCTTGGCTTGTAAGTCGTGGAGCTGGCATGCTTCTAAAATCTAAGTACTTTATCTGTAAAACAAAAAGCCTCAAATGAAATATACATATTGATAAAAATAGCATTTCACATGATCTATAAAACAAGTCAAATGTCTCAATAGAGTACACAAACTGATGAAAGTAACATTCGTCTACTGATAAGCTTTTCACTTAAAAGACCATCCTAACTAGTATTCGCTGCGGAATTAACTACAATAATAAAACTATAAGATCGAGATATCGATAGAATTCAAAGATTTTCGGCATTGATATTAATCTAATACATGCCAAATTGTCGGGTTTCGTAATTGCCTAAAGGTCAACTGTATATATTAGACCTTTGGAACTACAATACAATTACGGCAATCACTTTCCACGTAATTAATTTAATTTGATTTCAACTGCAATGTCGCTTCCTGCATTGTATCTGGGCATCTTGGGACAAGAAGCATCGGGAGTTGGGGTCCGACTGTCAGCGAATGTCACTTTAAATACGCCAAAACGGCGCAAAAGATTCAATTGGTGGGGCGCCGCAGTCAGACGCTGGAGCAGCAGATCGCCGGCACAGATAGGCTTGGTAGCTAAAGATACGATTACTCTTAGTCGTACTCGTAGTACGGACGCCAAATGGTATCTCATATCAGAGCTTGTGTATCGCAAAAGCGACTGTCAAATGGCTGAACTGACAGTTTGCTTTTTGCGCTGGCTGCCAAGATGTGGATGTGGATGTGGATGTGCTTGTGATTGTGGATGTGGTTGTGGATGCTATTGCCAAGATGGGAAATTGGGTCAGGCACTGCCAGGCAGTTGCTTCAAGTCGACTCGGAGTCGCCTCAAGTGCCGGAGCTGGACGAGCTGACAGCTCTCTTCAGCTCTGCCCCAAAACAAGCTGGCAGTGTCTTCTGCTTTCTAAGCCGGCCCAAAAGAAAAAAAAAAAAACTGTTTTACTTTTCGCAGCATATTTATGAACATGCACATTCGACTTGATATTTATTTCAATTGATTTTAATTTCAATTTTCTGTTTCGGCCCGCTCTCTGACACGTGACAAGGGATTTCACTTAAGTTTGTTAATGTTCGCATAAAATGTGCCAAATGTTGGACATGACAACGAATTGGACGTACCGAGTAGCTGCGGACTTTGAGCCGACACTCGAAAAGGACAGCAAACAAACAATTTCAAAAAAAAACATATTAAACACCATAGAAAATAGTTAAATAAATAGAAAAACATGAAAAGCGTATAAAACACAAATCCGACGTGTAAATTGATTTCTGGCTAGTTTTTTTTTTTTGTAAGATTTCAGCTACTTTTGCTGCGAAAGTTCAAAATCATTTCAAGTGCTTGCGAGAGTTGTTTTTTTCAGGTTGTTGTCTTTTCTTTTTGCTTGATATTTCTTTCTCTAAATAGATCAAAAATTTACATTAGAAATAATTTATTTACTCAAAATGCAGCCTTAAACTTGACACTAGATCTATCTGATCGAATCCTAAAAACCCTATTCCTACATTTAGTTTGAAGCAGATGTCGAATGGACTGGACCCTTTTATAGGGCATAATTTATGCAGCTGATATAGTTTATTGGGATAAAGTCATAAAAGAGCGCAGTTCAAGCAGTCCAACACCTTTTTGGCCACGTTCTGGCTTCGCTTGGATGCCCACCCAGTTAAATATAATGTCAATGGGAACTGGCGTATTCATATTGCATTATCGTAAAACAAATTGCTTGACACTTGATTATGGCCTGATTGAAAGCAAATCAAACGTTTTACGAGCTGGTTCAATAATACGCTCCGCTGTCACTTGGCTCCACACACAATGGCCAATTAACGGTGCTTAGACGACGCCTCGCCCACATTGTGCCACATTTTGGGGCAGCTGCGACGAGCCAAAAGTGTTATAAGTTTAGTTGGCAGATAAAAGAGGCGCCTCGCCTTATAAAGATGAGCGGAAATGGGCGATGGTAATAATAAAGTCTTTTCGACAGTTACAAAATGAACTTTCGTGGCCTTTCTTCTTATTCTTTTCATACGACTATTTCCATTTCTATGGCCAAGTCGCCGGTGCAATCAAGTGGTCGTTAAGGCCAACTCGAAGACAAATGTTCAATAGCCACGCATCTAATGCGCCTCCACAAACATACACGCACACGCTCACACACGCACACGCACACTCGTTTGTATCTGTGTATCTTTCAGTACGCACTCACCTGCATATAACGCGCCAGAGCCGCGTTCCGCTGCGCATGGGATCTCAGCTGCGGCTGAGGGGAGCCCAACGGACTGACAATCGTTGATGTGGAGCCCCCGATGCCGGTGTCATAGCCCTGAGCATTGGCGCCATCAACATCTATGTGGCAGAGTGAAAAAAGAGAGGGGGGAGCATAGTTAGATAAATTATAAGTTAATCGAGGCAGCAACAACAAAAGAAAGCCATCAACAAGGTGTGCAAAAAGTTGCAAAAGGAATGAGTTTACGTTGAAGCTCACATTATGGATCTAAGAAATATATTAAAAATTAAACAGCATAATACATGATAAAGGTTAAATTCTATTCTTTAGGCAATAATTTACTTTTATATAGAATTTAGCTTCTTTGGTTCACGAATATCAATTGGCATTCATAGGGAAACGTAAGAATATTTAGAAGATTACGATTTTTGCCTTACGATTTTGCAGTTATGTGAGAATAGTGAAGCTCTTAAATGCTGCGTTTAATGAACATATATTGTGAATAATCTTTTGACCGATCGTGACTATGGTAGCTATTTCCGATATTCAAGACTTTGGCTGATGTAACTAGGGATTCATCACAAAATGGATGGTTCAAAGGGTTCATGATTATTAAACAATTAAGAGGTTCTAGTCGGGAGCTCTTCCAACATCAAAAGCATATATATATATTCTATGTTAGAAGCTATATGTCAAGTTTGATGACTCTAGCTCTTATTATTTACCAAAATTGCTCAAAAAACAGAATATCGATATCGATTTTTATCGATTGCTTGGAAATGGAGTAAGTTATCGATTATCGGAAACAAACTCGATCTGCGCGGGACTACTCGATCTACCCTTATAGGTTCTGAGATCCTTGCGTTCATACATACGGACGGACGAACGGACGGACGGACAGACGGACGGACAGACACACGGACATGGCTAGATCGGCTCGGCTATTGATGCTGATCAAGAATATATATACTTTATGGGGTCGGAGATGCTTCCTTCTGCCTGTTACATACATTTGGCTTTCGCACAAATAAAATATACCCTTATACCCATTTTTAATGGGTTCAGGGTATAAAAACCATGACAAATGGGGTTGGTTTTCAGTCTTAAGACAATCAAATTCAAAATTTAGATATAAATGATGAGGGCATAGTTAGTTAACGAGCTTCACTATTCTCACATATCCCACATATACAAGTTTATTAAATCTTCGGCGTGTCGAAGTTCTCGTTCTAGTTGTCTGAGGTTTTTGGTAAGTCTTGGCGAAATATAGACCGAATTTGGATTACAATAGCATTTCATACTCGTGTGGCTCAAGATCATGATATTGCATCACAATATTTGTTTTGAGCACAAAATTGAATAGAATATCTTCAGTTAAACAGATTCCAATTGTATATAAGTACATCTATATTGCATTTTGTACTAGTGCGAATGAGAACTGTCGATTAATAATATTAGTATTTATTGTGTTTAAATAAATCACGGAGAGATATTATAAATATAGCAGCTGCCTTATATAGACCTGACAGTATGCAAATGGAAGGAAGCAAAGGTTTCTCCTGATTGATCGATCGCGCGCTATATGCAAAGTGTAATCTCTATATATATAATTATGTATGCCTTTATACCAGAAGTACATTTACATTTGTTATTCTAAGCCGCGCTACGTTTGTTCCTCAATTTATATGCCAATTGTGCGAGTGTGTGTTTGCTGTTTGGCATGCAAAGTACGTTTACATCGTACTCGTCGGTTAACTTCATAAAGTATCGGACTGAACAGACGTACCGCTGCCCCATTGCCCATGAAAATTGAAAGTTATGCCCGTTTTTAGTTAATGCTGACATGATTTTCTATGGCCCCACTGTGCACGCCCAACTAGCCGCTAAATTTATTGCCCGGCTGCCCATCGTACACAGTTCACAGTCGTCCCGTGTGAATTTATGATCTGGTAAGTGGTTTCTGACTTCGATTTATTTATGGTAATGGGTTGCTATATCGTACAACTTGTGCTTGGCCAGTGCCCCGGGCCCTGAGCTTATTAGCATAGCTAATTAAGTGCTACAGTTCGAACGGGTTGTAGGGCAGTGAGTGAGCAATTAGAGAGTCAGTACTTGGCCATTGTCTCAAGTATCGATACATAGCAAATACACAGGTGAGCGAGTGAAGATGTTTAAAAATAGCATTAATATAATTTATATCGAAATATAGTTAACAAACTGTGTATTTATGTGAAAGGATTTACTAACAAAACATTTCAAATTCAAGACTGACATAAAGCATAAGCAAAGAGTAAGTGAGTACTTAGCACATGGGAGAACAAGTACAAAAAGATCCTTAGAATTGGAATCGGAATAAGTATTATTGAAACTAAATAAAGCGAATAGCTTTAGGTGGCAAACCTTTGCTAACAAAACATATATAAGTCAAGATGGAGATAAAAAACCTATTTGGTAGGGCGCTGAGTAAGCAATTAGTGAGTGAGTACTTGGCCACTGTCTGAAGTATCGATATATAAGTAGCATGCATTTGTGAAATGAGCGAGTGAAGAAGTCTAGAATTGGCATAAATATAATTAAAGCTAAATATATCAAGCAACTTTTAACGAACTTTGATAAACATGAACTAACAAAACATTTATAATTCAAGACTTGGAACATTTTACTTTAATTCTTAGCCTCGTTATAGTCTGCTGATAGTTTGTAATTATGTGTTAATAATATTACCATTTTGTACAGACTTAAAAGCTTCAAAATGTACGCTTACAAACGGATCGTTAAGAATCCGTAATTTGCTGTTGTTTTAAAATAAATGTTTTTCCCTCTTTAAAGTATTTTGTGAACAAATTGAGGGAAAATCATGAAAAAAACTAAAACATAAACATATACTCTTAAATGGCGCATTCCGAGATAAGAGTGCAACAAAAAAACACTCGACACAACACCTTGCACTCAGCTTTCGAGGGTTGGCTGCTGCCAACACATATTTGATATGCCATATATGGCATATCCCGTAGATACGTGAGAGAGACACTGTATGCTACTCACCTTTCAGCGAGCTGTTCATGCACATGGGGCACTGATCGTTGCGGAACATACAGGAATAGCAGCGTTCGTGTCCGCAGGTGTCGATCAGTTTCCGTCGCTTGCCCTTATCGAAGGAGATGCGGCACGAGGGGCAGACCGAGCCGCTGGCATCGTGTTCCAAGAGCCGTCGAATCGATTGAAGATCTGGAAAATGAAGAAGAAGAAAAAGGTATAAGTATGAGTATGTGCGAAACATGCGGCTTACATGTACATTTCGTATTTACAGTCTGCCATATAAAAGTGATTATCATTAAAGCGGCATTTAACATAAGGTATTCAAGTCTAAGCTTAAGCGTTTACTAAAATGAATGGGTGAGCTTTTTATACCCTGAACCCTTTAAAAATGGGTATAAGGGTATATTGTATTTGTGCAAAATCCAAATGTATGTAACAGGCAGAAGTAAGCTTCTCCGACCCCATAAAGTATATATATTCTTGATCAGCATCAATAGCCGAGTCGATCTAGCCATGTCCATCTGTCTGTCTGTCTGTCCGTCTATCCGTATGTATGAGCGCAAGGATCTCAGAACCTATAAGAGCTAGAGACTTGAAATGTTAGATGTAGATGTTTGTTAGATGTTTCCGATAATCGATAACTTGCCCCGTTGCCAAGTTATCGATAAAAATCTATATCGAAATCCTGTTTTTTGGGCAATTTTGGTAAATAATAAGAGCTAGAGTCACCAAACTTGACATATAGCTTCTAAAATAGAATATATATATGCATTTGATGTTGGAATAAGAGGGTTCAGGGTATCCCCTAGTCGGGAGCTCCAGACTAGAACCTCTTACTCGTTTATGGATTGGCGAGGCTTATGAAGCTGACAGGACTCAAATAGTAAAGAGAGGCATATTTAAATTTAATTTATGAATAGAAAGGAAAAGTACAATTAAGAGATGAGATTAGATTTTTGTGCAACAGATATATTACACATATAACATATATGACAGCTCTAACCTAAAATCTAAAATCTAAAATGTAAATTTTCTTCCATTTTGTTTCCACTTTTTGCATTTTTATTCTAGAGGATTTTGACTTTTCTCATTCTAGAATCCATTCGAGTTTTTGTCCAACAAATCGTCACAAATTCTATGCATAAATATTGTCATTCAGTTTGATTTTTTTTGAATTTGTTTACCTCATGTCAAAGCAATTTCCACGCTTAACAGTCACAATTACGGCTTGCAGAGCGCTGCACTTGTTTATTTATTTATATATAAAATATTTTTCTGTGTTTTTTTTTTTGCAACCGTTTGCATAAATTGTGACTGTCAATTAGATGTCGTTTGTGGTTCCCCCGGACTGTAACTGCCAATCTTTCGCTGCAAGTCGTCTCTTGATATCTCGCATTTATCTTTTGCATCGGTAGCTGCACCTGCTCCCCTGCCCCTGCCCCTGCTCCTGCCCCAGCCTTAAGCCGCTGAGCATCGCTGCATGCCACAAGAGGCAATCGGAGGAATTCTTCTCTTGGCTGCACTTTAATTGATTTAATTTGATCGCTTGGTTTATTATTTCTATTAGCACTTTGTCTTTCTGTGTCAACATTATGTAAAAATGTGTGCAACAATCAGCCGCAGAACGCAGTTTTCGTTGCAATGTTTACAATTTGGTAGCTAAGTGCTGAGAATAAGAGAATAAGAGCAAGACAACTTGATTCTTAGCAGAATTTCAAAAGTGAGCTCTACAGGAATTTTATAAACTGTTTCGCAAGCCGAAACTCGAACCGTAAAAGTTGCTTAAAATTGGTAAAGAAATAGTAGGAGTAGTAGTAGTAGCTCGCCAAATCCAACATTAGTTACTTTTCCTATTAAAAAAGCAGCTAAAAGAGTTTGTCCCGGTCTTCCTTTGAGTAGCAGGAAAGCCAACTTGTTGAGCAAGAATACATGATTAGCATGTTGCACATCGAGAAGGATTTCATATGGGTTTTTTATGCCCCGCTCTTGACAGTGCCATAAAATATGGAAATTGCACGAGGCCTTTGTAACTCTGAAGCATTCAACGTCCTATTTGAAGCCCAACCAAGAGTGCCAGGCTGCAATTCCTGTTTGTGTAGTGAGTGAGTGAGTGAGTGAGTGAGTGGGAACTGCAAAGTCGACGCCAACAAGAACCACGTCCGGTCGTCGTCGTAAAGTGGATTACAAGCGCAGCCGCTCGATCTGCGTCGTCTGGGCTTCCATTCATGCCCACTTGACAAACACTCAATACACAAAGTCTGCCAGCTATTTTCCTTTTATTGCAAATCAAAAGCCAAAGTATATTTTCATGATTTTTTCTTCGGGCGATACCCTATAAATATACCTTTGCAGCTCTTTAAGACTTCTTCTTGCTTGAGACTGCCTGACAAAAGTTGATTTACTCGAGAAATTCAAATCGAGCAAAGATTTTGCTGCTATTCATATTCCATATTGTACAACTAATAGGGTATTTGATAGTCGACTAGACTCGTATATCCGTTCCCGCTCGTTTCTCGTTTTTTTTTTTACATAGTTTCGCCAGGTTCTCTGCGCAGTCGCCGCGTGGGCCGCCGCCAGCTGCCAGCGACAGCCACGACGCACAGTCTGGGGGCACCCGGAGGACCAGCCCACGTTGTTGTGTGCTGTCTGTGGCTGCCGCCTTATCGTGTGGCACAAACTTTGAACTCTTCACAGCTTGAACTTTCGGCCGGTGTCATGGGAATACGTAAGCGTAGCCAGCAGAAGTGGACAAGCTGCCGCAGCTGTGGCCATGCAAATTTTCTGCAACCCTCGACCGCAGTCGGGCCCTTGCCCCTTGTGGCACATGGCTCAAATTATGAACAGTTGCTGTGGCAACAAGTGCGCCCTGTCTTTGACATTTCCTCGCGACTTCACACCCTCTCGTGCACAAGCAATTTACAAAATGTCATCCCAACAATTGGCGTGTCGCTTGTCAAGCGCAAGCGCGGCAGATGCCACCGACCAAATGTTCGTGCAGCAAACAGCTGGGGTTGCAACTTGCAACTGAGCTACCTTTGTCTAGCAGTTGGCCACCAATTGACGCAAATACCCACAACAATGAGAGTCGACAAAGGCATGCCAAATAAGGGCCATGCATGCAACAGCCAGTGGAGGGCCCTGTCGAGCAGACTTCCATAGGAAATAACTTTGGATGAGAGCAGAAACAATTAAGGAAGCCGCAAAATAGTTAAATAATAAGGCTTTAAAACAGGCGGGAAGACCTGCAACACTTGTTGGTAGGGTACTATTCTTTAGGATAGTGGCATATATTAATATAGAAATATGTTTTTACTCGAATAAATCTGATGATCTGATAATTGATCGACCACGCATCAATTTGTTTTGATACAAGTTTTATGTTCAAAGAAATTGTATGAGACTTAAGCTCCTTTCTTTTCAAAAGAATTTATTAATATGCCAGAAAATTTGCATATCGGACTGAAAGACTTCGCCAGGTCTAAGATTGTCTGAGTTTGTCTGAGATTGTGGGTAAGTTAATTTCTTAAGTTAATTTTTACTATTGAATTTTCCCACTTGGTAGACTTCCTATTGAAGATCTGCTCTCCAGACTTTTCCGTCCCCAAAGTTGCTTTCTGTTCTGCTCTCGCCCACTCGAGAATGCGTTGCTTGAACTACTTACATATTCCTTATAATATTGTAAGCAATTCCTAGGCATAATTCTAGTGCTTATTTCATGGATTTTAAGCAGATTAATTTCCTGCTCTATGCGGAGTGTCTTCTACTTGTGAGTCAATGTACTCAGTGCTCTTTGCTCAGGCTCAAACAATGCGCTGGGAAATGCATCTAAATTGCAAAATTATGCAGCTAGTGCGGGGCAAAAGTGGGGGAGCCCCCCCCCCCCCCCCCCCCCCCCCCCCTCGAACCCACTCCGGCTGCGCGCTACGCATGCGCCGCACACACATTTATTTTGTTTTTTTTTTTTTTATTAGATTTATGCGAATCGCTGGGATACTTGGGGTTTGCGGTTTGCGCCAAATTGATTTGAATTTTCCGCTGTACTTATTTTATTTCATTTTTCTATTTTTCTATTTTATTTTGGTTCAATGAATGAATTGCATTGGGCTGCCGGTTTGCCCCCACAGTGAGTGGTGCAGTGTGGTGCAGTGTGGTGCAGACATCATGTAGTTCATGTGGGCGTTTTATTTCAGCTAAATTGGCAAACCGCGGCCTGCGGCCTGCTCTGCATCGCATGTGGGCGTTAAGTGTGTGTGTGCTGAGTGTGTGTGTGTGTGTGTGTGTGTGTGTGTGTGTGTGTGTGTGTGTTGTGTGTGCGCCTGTTGGCACCGGCACTTGTTTTCCTTTATGTAATTTCTTTGCAAATTACTGTGAATACACAATTTTTTCTTGCTGCGGCCGCATTGGGGCCTAATTCAATTTGCGGTTTGTCTTCGCGGCTTTAAATTGAGAATTTAACTACCCAGCACTTTGTACACACAATTCCCAGGGAATGCTGCGGTATGTATTCTAATAGGGATAGTCGCAAATTGTAATCGTTGGTATTTCTCAGAAATTACAAGGCAGGAATGCGCTGAGAAAATTCCAGGCAAAAATAGGCAAAAGCTTCGAAGTCTGAGACATGAACAAGAGCGAAGGAGCCTGTTAAATATATTAACTAAAGTAGTTTTTATTACTAATAATAACTCAGCCAACACCTTTAACTGAAAAGACTTCAACGTGAGCTACATATGATATCATAGCAGCAAAGCTCAACACAGCTTATTAGCATCAAAAGTCGCAGCTTTTGTTCTCTGAGATGGTTTTTAAATAAGCCCTTAGACTGACTAGCTGAAGACTATTTACCATGTTGCTTATAAAGAAACCTGCCCATCTTTATATTTTCTTGTTAAATACCTAGCCAAACTTGTTTTAAGTTCGCTGAAAATATCGTAAAATAACGCTGAATAGGGGCACGGGCTGACTTTTGCTTGAAGCTAATATAATAATAATAATATAAGTCCATAAGAGACTTTATTACAATACTGACAATTCAGAAAGAGCATAAACTTCTGTAGGATTTGGTAGTCCATGTGAAAAAATATGCCAAATTAAGAACTGCACTTAAATAGTTTATAACTAGTCAAGCTGGCCAAAAAGTGTCACTTGGAAATTCGATGTGTCAGGTCAGGGTTGCCAATTTGAACAGCGTT